ACAAACCCTCCTCCAAATTGGGTCTCTCGGAAGTAATGTTGAAAAAGCAGACACCAGAGGCCGGCCACACCCACTCCCCGTATAGGCCTAGCAACTACTCATAAGACAAGGTGACCAATCACTTCATTTAATCAGTTACCGAGGTCGTGGCGTGAAACATTTAATATATTACAAACTAAGTGAATTACAGTATTTACCAAACAATATCTCTATGTTTGTAGCCCAGGTAACAATAGCACGTCAAGAAATAAATTAAACTCTTAAAAAAATTGAGAGGACAACCGTTGAGTATTATACACACATATGGCAATTAAAAGTCACCTTAGACGAGGTGGCAGAGTGTCACCAGATCACTTTCACTGCACCACGTTCATATTAACAGTGAAGCGAGGACAGAGCTCCTGGGCGCGAGCATCAGATGTTCCGCCCCAATAACCTGAGCCTCAGCTGGTGTACCATTGATGAACGTACCTATTGTACCACACATTGTTGAGTCCGGGTACTCTTCCTAGCCCCTGGATCTAAGTCACTTAAAACTGTACTTAACGCTTCAGACATGACCCTATGATGAACCATACCACACCTAGTGTCGTCGTCTACCCCAGCAGCTCGGCCAGACAAGCTGTACATCAGTCCTCAGTTCTGTCGGCAAAAGGCCAACGCCGGAGACCGCAGTCACACACCAACACCTTCCTACATTAACACCACACGTACATAAACGATGCAGCTGTTTGAGAGTATGGAGGGATACATCCATATGACTGACTCTCTCTCGCTGAGTTCTTGTTTGGATTAGCACCGAGTAGACAGACATACATATAAGTCATAAAAAAATGGCGAAACAAATTATTAAATCAAAGTTATTTCTCACCTTTATATAAACGTTATGTAGCAGCCAACACGAGACAGCGAGGAGAGTCAGTTTAACGGGGCGAGTCCATAATACAGCGAGTCATAAAGACCCCCCACACCTGTACCACTACCTGTACACCTGTCACTAAACCTACACCTTTCATCAGCCACACACCAACTACTACTGCTGCAACACACACCGCCCTGGCCTCGATACCTATTACATACAGATATTGTTCCCGATAACAAACTGGAGTGCAGTAAACGCTAAATACATGACGTGTAACTCCCTCTGAGAACTATAAACAGAGGGTGCAGTGGAGTGGCCTCAATTACGCCTGCATGATGCTACTCCAGATAACAAATTGGGCCACACTAACTGACAATAAACGATGCTGAGGTACAACTCCCTCGACGAACAGATATCGTGAGATCAATTAGCGAGGCGAGAAATAATTTGACCCAGTTCTCTATGTCTGAGTATTTAACATGAACCCCAAATTTGCTCATTAATCCAAAAACGCCTCTGCACTAAGACACACAGCCAATGTGATGCACACTGGGTTCTGAGCCATACGGAGCACAGTGGGTTGTCTAACATGCATGCAGCGTCACGATTATGTACACACTACCCTGGATACAGTAATCGTCTCACGCACTACTGTACACTACTGACTGCTCCACTCCACTATGTACAAGGTCACGGACTCGCATATCCACACAACACGCAATAACTGTGAGCACTGGCAACACCTTGAAACTTCACAAACTTTGCTAACTTTAATAAAAAAATAAATAAAATAAAAAATATATTCCTGGGGACTAACACGGTCTTGTACTGCAGGCTACCCACCAGGAAAAAAAACTACAAAGGTTAGCTACACATATTCCCACAAGTAAGGCGTCCACATACTAACCTCACCTCCCAACACAACAGCCCTGAGAATCCATATTAAGAGGCGCCCCTTCAGTCCTTAGTGGAGGTATATAATGACTAAAGAAGGAAGAACTTGAGCATGTTATACCCAAGTACTACCACAACTACCACTAACTTGCCCACACACACTCTTTAACTTAACTACTGGTCAAGGTGAAACACTATCATACTCCCATCGTTTACAGTACAGGTAAAGCATCTCGTCACCCTGCTCCAGTTTCACCCTTGGCCACGCAGACATCTCACACGCTCTCCCTCCTCTGTCACCCTGGCTTATTTTCCTCCTCCCATCCTTCATTCTAACTCGCTCCCTCCTCCCATTCTAATTCTCTCTCACCCCCTACCATCATTCTTATGCTTTCCCTCCCTCCCTCCCACCCATTTTTCATGCCAACTCCCTCCCTCCTTCCTTCTTATTCATTCCCTCCCTCCTTCACGAGATCATATATGACCTTATCCATACTCCCACACTTGACTGACCTTTTCACCCTCCACCCCTCCCTCATGAAATCATACACTATAAAGAACCATTTCCTCACTCCCTACCCTCCACCCACACCATACTGACCTTCCCTTCCCGCCCCTTCTCCCCTCATACTGTGTATAATAAAAGGACCCCCCCTCCTCACTCCCTGACCACCTCTCACAGGACCCACATCGAGCAGCTGGCCTTCCTTTTATCGGTCAACCTCGCCACTCCCTCCAACCTCACACACACACACGGTATAAGGGATCTTTACCTCACTCCCTAACCTCATCCCACATCGTGACTGATCAACTACTAGACCTCTCCCTCACCTTAAGATTAACCATCCTAACGCTAACCTAACTTAACCTCACCCCCCCCCTCTCAAATAAGCGATAGGGTGGTGGTTAATCTTTAGGTGAAATAAGCTGGGGTAGAGTCTTTAAGTGATCCCAATTCTTTCATTAACTACAACAGCCAGTAAAGGTTACCACCGATCTAATAATATAACACGGGGGTGAGGGGGGGGGGGCATTAGGTGTGCTCTCTGATATATTATGTAATTAACTTAGGATTAAAGGTATCTATCTATCAGAGCTCTGGTAATTAAACCCGATAATTATCATTCATCAGAGAGTAAAAGCTAATAAGTTATTTGTTTTAATCAAATAACCAAATAACTACTGAAATATTAATAGGTTAAAAGTTTGTTTGTTAATATGTTTATAAAACCTACAAGATGTGAATAATGCCAGTTACGGGATCATTATTTTCAAGCTGACGTAGTGTAATATTGATGTCTACTATCAAGCTGTTGAAGAGGACCCACACACCCCTCTTCCCTCCAGTTCTCCTTTCCAACCTTCAACACTACAACAATAAATAATAATAATAATAATAATAATAATAATAATAATAATAGTAAGTATTTATCCCAGAAATAGGTTATGCAGTATAGGCCAAGATTAGGCAGTAACAGCACAATATATAATTAATTCTACATCTCCCAAAAAAGCGTTTGAATACACACAGTAAGTGTAAATGGTTAACAAAATGCAATGTTTACAACTGTGGACCAACACGACACACCTGTAAAGCTCCCCCACCCTCAACACACTGGCTAAATATAAACACCGTAACCACAACAAACAAACAAGCAAACATCCACAATATAACAATAACTCTTCTCTGAATGTATACAGTACTTGTATACAAAAAACGTAAACAGTATATGGAAACAATGGCGTGTTTACATGGGAGGAACGACTGAACCAAACGTGCAATGACTTATGGTAACAGTAAACACACTTTTCGTACATACCGAAAATAAAAAAAAATCCTGAATAACATCAGATTTCACAATTACAGTAATTGTATAAAAAAACTAAGAATCATTGGAGTGATTACAAAAACGAGAAGTGTGAACCAAAATTAAATCATACAATTCGATATATTATTTTATTGTAAACATAGTTATATAAAATATCCAAAAAGTACTTAGAAATTCTTTTTGGAGGGAATACTTGTACAAAGCAAACAGAGGAAAACAAAAGCGATGTTTGTATAGTTGGAAGGGAGAGCCAAGCGTGTAAAGCCGTAACCCTCAACACGGGCTCATATCTGGGGCCAACAGACACACTCGTATTTGGAGAAGCTGAAGGTGAGAGCCTGACGGGGCCAGAATGTGACACCCACGATCCTGAGACTCGCTCTACTGTTCAACCAGGTACTTCTCTTCGCCTCTCACCCATAACCCCTCAACTCTAAAACCCGTCAAACTTCACCACCACAATCCTCTTATAACCAACGCCACCACAACAGTAACTAACACTTCATTCACCACCACCACTACTCCTATCACCATCACCGCCAATATTATCGACTATTACTCTTCCTACTACAACAACTCCTAACCCTGTACGGTACTCATGACTAGCCCGCCTCTTCTCACCACCACCAACATTCATTTTAATATCACCACCCACTACCATCAACGCCTCACACCCCAGACCATGCCCAACACCCAAGTCCACTGCCGCCTCTCACCTCAACAGTCCCCAAGTTGGTATTCATAGGCGAGTGAGACTAGAAATTACCCCTTTTTGCGTGGCCACACATCAATGCTGAAGAACACATCACATGAAAACTTTGTTTGTTTTACGCAGCATTGTTGTGTAGCCACGACCGAGTGACTAGGCCTGAGCTACGGGGAACTTGCACTTGTGAGACTTCACTTGGATTATGCGGTTCAGTGTTGGTCACTGTACTACAGAATGGATATCGCTGGGAAGCTCCAAATATAGGTTGGATGGATATATGAGCGATAGGGGTTGGGTGTAAACAGGGCCACCTAGTATGGGACAATAGACCCGCTACAGTTCCTCTATTCTTAGTTCTTGGTACACCTTTATGACCTCACACTCACCTCAACTCCTCGATCCTTGCCAACATCTCGGTAAATTTTCTGTAATCTATAATATAAATTAAACCTGTAGTAAGATGCTACAGGTGTGTGGTGGTGATGTGTGTTACAGGTGTGTAGTGGTGATGAGTGATACAGATGTGTGGTGGCGATGGGTGCTACAAGTGTGTGGTGGTAATGTGTTACAGGTGTGTAGTGGTGATGAGTGATACAGATGTGTGGTGGCGATGGGTGCTACAGGTGTGTGGTGGTAAGTGCTGTACATTCCGCCATGGTGGCAACATATTGTATATGGTTACCGTAGACCTGTATGGCTCACTCACCTCCTCAATCCCTCGATCCTTGCCAATTTCTCGGTCAGTTTTCTGCAATAAAAGAAATATATATATAAATTAAACGTCGCATTAAAGGGACATTAAAAACAAACATACATCTCAGTGATATATATATATATATATATATATATATATATATATATATATATATATATATATATATATATATATATATATATATATATATATATATATATATATATATATATATATATATATATATTGTACAGTCCCCTTCACTAGTGCGTTTACAGGTGGCCTTGGCTCAGGTCAGTGAGGTGATATATGGGAGGGTGGGTAGTATTGTGAGGTGTAGAATGATGGTGATGGTAATGTTAATGGGACAAAGGAGAAGCAGAACAAAGAAGAGAACAGGGGAGAAGAGAATTCGGACTAAGAAGAGGAAAAGGAGACAGTGAAGGGAGACGTGGAAAGATATTAGTAAAAATGTTAAAACAACATGAGAGGAGGAAAACGCATCGGACGTGGAAGAAGAGGAATGAGAGTAACAGGAAGAGACGGAGGAAGTGAAGCGGAGGAGTAGAAAGACGAAGAGGAAGAGCAGGGAGGAAAGCATTCATCAAGCGTCTCGACCCGAGCATGTACCAGTGAGCCGGGGAGCCATGTTAAGGATCCCAACGCACCACGAGAAGACCACACACACACACTGCCAGCACCACCTTCACCCCTACAATGATTCAACCTAATTTACTTGTTTATTGTTACCAGTCAGGTGTGTGATGGGGAGAGGGAGGGAGCACCTTCTGGAAAGAGATGCGAGGTGCAATCACTCATTAGTCACCTTCTTCTTGACGTCACTCCTGGTAGCCTAATGTAGCGTCTCTCTCATTCTAATGGCCAGCGTTTACTAACAAAACTAATTACAGAAGCCTAAGTAAAAAGTAATCAAATAAGCCAACACATTAAGTCTGGAGTATCAATATGTATCACACACACACACACACACAGTACATGTTTATCTCTGAATATCACGCACACGTCCACTGGGAGTGAATGTTATGATGCTAGTCTCACATCCTCTTGGATACCTCAGTCAACCTTGCTTTCCTGTACCCGTCAGCCTCCCTCACCACACCAGACACAACCACCACCGTGTATCCTCCAGCTATCATCTGTACACCTGACATCCACTACTCCAGTCCCTTTCCCCCTCTCCTTACGTTATGTCCTGCCTCTAATGTTTACGGTCTCCCCTGTCTGTTGTGTCTTCTTTCTCAGTTCGTCACCAATGTTTACGGTCCCTCCTGTCTGATGTGTCTACTCCAGCTTGGGCAATGGATTCATTTGGACATTTTAGCACCCCAGCTTATTTGACGTAATGATTAAACAACATCCTAAAGCCAACCTAACCTAACCCCCCTAAGATAGCGTTTTGGAGTTTTAATCATCAGCTGAAATAAGCCGGGGTGGTTAATCTTCATGTGATCCAAGCACTGCCCTTCTTGATAAAATTTAAAGCATTTGTAACATCAGTAATAAATTGGATAAACTTTCACCCTCCCTCACACACTGCCGATAAACCATTACTCAGAGCTAGGATTTAAAGCCCCGAATCATCCACAGCAATTACCACACACACAACTCGGGGCGTGGCTGTACATAATAGCTTGGGCGACACACTGTCTACACCACCGCCGCCTTCCAGATCCGCAGAGGAACCCGACACACACACACACACACACACACACACACACACACACACACACACACACACTAGCTTGAGCCTCAGACTCCGAGAACTATGGCTTAACCTTAACCCTTTGAGGACGATGGCTCAATCCTCTCAAGACGATGAGTTCACCCTTTGAGGACGATGGCTTAAGTCTCTCAGGACGATGGCTTAACCCTCTTGTCCCCCAAAGACTCCAACTCACTCCCAACGTAACTGGATATGAGAGAAAATGTCTACTTGTGGTCGTCTCAATGCAATGTCTCCGCCACTTTAAGCCGTACTGTAACCTTTGTGAACCAGTCAGATGCTCGCTAGCATGTTTTCACGGAGGGGAAAATATTATCGTGTAATTTATAAGAATCCTCCAGGTGGGCATGAAGGGGGGTGTTTACGACTGGCTAACACAACTTGTCTGCACCGCCGCACCAGCTGAAGTAATCAAGTCCTCCCCAGAGTATGAGTGAGTGGTGGCGCTGACTGGCCCTTCACAACCTCTCCCCACTAACAGGATCAAAGGTTCGGGTCAGGTTATGAAGACTACGCTTGGTGAGATAAACTAGGTTAGATTAGGTAAACAAGGTTCAGTTGGGTTCGGTTTGGCAATGCTAGGTTAGTTTATACACATTTACTACTTCTGACAAACGGCTCTAGGTACGGCTTCAAGAACTCCAAGTGTATTCCTTAAAACAAAGCAGACGAGAAACTAATGACAAAACTTACGGAAAACATGTCAGGTACTTCATATGATCACAACTGACATGAAAGACAGAAGAATGTGCAAGAATAAGACACCTTGAGGAGTAGAGGTGCCTGCTGGTGTAAAATCTGAGAACAGTGTGAGCATTTGAGAACCTCCACTTGTCAACTTGATAACCACCAACAAAGATAAGAAACGTGGCTGGGTCTTTATATAGGTTAGGTTGGTGCCTCAGTGGGTAGGAAGCAACAAGGAACACACTGGAGGACGCCACAGGAACAATAATAACCCTGGTTCACCTCCGCCCGTCTTACTTCACCAGGCTCTCCACTCACCCACCCCCTCCACCAAGGAATGTTTAATAGCACATCAGTGTCTGGGGTAATAGGCCATACACAAGAGAGACTCACATATTCCCGGATACAGTTCCCTTCCCTGTTCCCTCTCGGGTTCCTTCTCTTAATAAACGGTGGTCCGTACGGTGCGTGTTGCCTCGACACATGAGAGCTACTGTCTCTATAAACTGTATATAGTTATTCTGTAAATCACAATGACATCTTCACGCGGGATTTACACGAGTGGATTCATTATTAAAAACCAGCAGTCATAGTGTTTGATTTACCCATTTTAAGGTAGCAACTGGTACTACAGACTGAAGTAACATTTAGGTCTCGTCACCCCAGTACCTACAACAACCGTCCACTGATAATATTTTCTTACGCCTCATAAACAAAGACGTAGGAACAAAGAACAGCGCGGGGGAGGCACAGGTACAACAAAAACATGTGTCAACACCTGGACACACAAACGGGATTAACTTTATAAAAAAAAAGAACATCAAAGACAAGCCAATTGATAGACACTAAACGGGACTAAAGATTATCTCAGAACCGAATGCCAAGAGTCTGGCGTTACCACAAAAAAGGTGACCGGCCCGACCAAGCATTAAAAGAAAGATTATAAACAGTAAAACTCATCAGGCGCTTAACACACAATCTCTAACGAGCATTCCACACCATGAAACCAACTTGGGGCCCTGATAATGTCACACAACAATGACAGCCCAATTCCAGTATGTATAAATATATATATATATATATATATATATATATATATATATATATATATATATATATATATATATATATATATATATATATATATATATATATATATATATATATATATATATATAAATAAACATTATGCTGCCAATACCAAACGAACGCTGTTCTCTTATTTCTTCAAAGGAAGCGTTTATTCAAGTCTGATGATTGAGGGTGGCATAGAACTAAAAGCTCAGCCTGACACAAACACAACGCGTTGGCCACCGTCACGGGATGGCATAGTCTTAGAAACACACGTCAAATAAGTAGTTACAGATAAGTACTTCGTCATATCCTTCCAATAAAAGGCTGGAGGCATGCGGTGTGGGCAGGAGAGGGCGAGCAAGGTAAGGAAGGAGCACTGGCTGATACTATCACAACTGAGGCAGCTACCAACATGCCAGGCCGGCGACTAACACAACAGGCCCTCGCCGACAAAGTGGCCCACACCTCACCGCCATGGCACATACACTACCCAGTTAGCACCTGATAAACACTAGTTAATCCCAACTATGCTCGTAACTCCCCCGCTCAGGCGAGAAAAGCTGCCAATTTCCTATGAGCGTCATCACGGTTTAATCTTCTACTGGGAGGTTATCGTTGCCCAGTGTCTCTCAGGAACGACCACATTGACGCACTACCTCACACCCGTTTTATAATCTTATACTACATTGTGTGGCGGGAGGAGGACATAAAACCTGAGGGTAGGAAGCAAACACTCTAAGACAAATTAATACTGTATGTGCTAATTCTTACAAGATGAAAAAAATAAACAAATAAACTGGGCTGGAATATTTTGGGAAAAAGGAAGGGAAACTGTATTATTATTCCCAAGTAGAGATAATCACCTGTGATGACGTTAATTGATGGTAAAACACACACACACCACGGCCAACAAGCTGCTGAAGCATCAAGAAACGCACTTAATGCATAATGTACATATACATTTACGTTGCATAAAAAAATAGTCGTTAAGACCGATAACAATGAAATTAAGCGACTACGAGTGCCTACACAGGATCTTGACAAGTTGAGATAACATTCAACCAAGACTACAGTACGGGCTCACGGGTAGAGAAAGACTATGAAGCGGCCCCACTTCCCCCTTCCCAACCAACGTGGCCATATGCCGGTTCTAATACCTACAGTATGTAACCTGGCGCTTACCTGGTGCTGGCTTAGGGGGCTATTCTCACCCCCCCCCTCGTTCAAGTCCTCGCCTTTGTACACCCTTGGCCACCTGTCTGAGTTTGAAATCGACATACAAAAATGTGAGAAGGTGCGGGAGGTGGGTAAGGAGGGCTCATTGTTATTTTGGTCAAGTAAAATATGTACAAATTACAACACCTGAAGCAGATATGAGTGATGTCTTCCATCACGTTTATTTTCTGGAATACCCGGAGTTATTTACACAACATTTTAACTCCTCCACATAATTTGTCATACACATTCGTTAACATACACCAATATGACACTGACAAGTCTCAGATGCCACAATTATTTCGTATCCCTGGCCGCCACTTTCATGAACTAA